CAGATCTTTGCCTTCTGGTTCAGCTCTATGTTCACCACACCAGACCGGTACATCGCCCACTTCACAGCCGACGCCGCACCAATCCACCTATCGATCTCCCGCTCCATCTTCCCTTCATATGTGAACAAGACCCTAAGATCCTTAAACTCCTCCACTAGGGGCAGTACATCCTCCCCAACCTGGAGAAAGCACTCTACCCTTCTACATCTCCAGACCATGGTCTCTGATCTTCATCCCGGCCGCTTCACACTCAACAAACTGGACATGCAACAATTATTGAAATAAAGACCTTTAGAACTTCAGATAACTCCTCAAAATGAAAAATAAAAACATTTTCCAACATAATGTGCATAAATACATGACTTTGTTGTTGCACAGACAATGAAGGGAAAGTTTCTGTTAGAATATGCTAGAGCAATAAAAGGTGAGTTTATGTTATGCGTGGCCTGCTGCTATTAAAGGAAAAGGCCTCCTGCATGCAAAATATCAACAACATCAAGAAATGCCTTTTTCTAATATGAATTTGTTCTTTTCAACAATTCAGGTCAAACTTCTGCCTCACAGAACAAAAAAGTTCATTTATTTTCCATTTTTTTTCTGTTAGCATCAACATGAAGATAATTGGCTTCAAACAGGAAGTATGTCAGATATCCTGGCACTGATTTCAAAAAGCAAAAACAGATCAGATGTTTCTACAAACACATTCTGTAAACGAGCGCATTGGAAGAAAGACGTCCTGCTTAGAGACGCGTTCCAACGTGTCATGCAGGCTCCAAACTGTACATCAAGCTCCTCTCGTCAGCAGGACAGCTCTTCAATCGAAAAGGATGCAACATCATTTGGAAACATTTCAATAACAAACATTTTACATTTTACAAAATAAATATGAAATCAAACGTTTAATCTTTTTGGTTTTAACTGAGGATCATCAGAAAAAGTTCATTGATTATTAAGCTGCTGCACTTTGAAAGCTGCAAAGGAGGAAAGAATGTAGACGAGGAGCAGAAGGAGGCGCTGCTCCTCATGTTCAGTCCATGCTGCTCGTGGAGTCGGTCTTCTCCTGCCTCCGCCTCATGATTTCCAGCAGCTCAGAGTCACCCTGAGATCTCTGCAGAGAAACAACAGGATTCATCTTTCCGTTCTCTGGACCAGTCCCCGAACACAAGGACAATAAAACCTAGTTTTACTATAAAACCGCAATTCTATTCAGTCTATTTCTATAGCTCCAATTCC